TTAAAATCACCATGCGTTTTATATACGAAGTTTTAGACTTATTTTATCCCCGACATTTACTATCATAAGCTTTAATTTTACCTCAAACCACCACTTCTGCCTAGCCCGACTTGTAACGGGGTTGTATGTTGTCTTGTAAGTTGCCTCGTTGTTACATGTATTTGTATGAAGTTGATAGAAGATTCCTTTCCTCTTTTTTATACTGAAAATGAAATGAATAAAACTTACAACAATAACAAGCAATAATTAGACCTTGAGACACGTGTTGAAATTAATAACAAGAATGTGTATTTTTATTTTCGTGATGTCAATTACAATATTGGTATTGTGTGTGTTTAAAATATTCTCAGTTTCATTGTCTCTTGTTTCTTTAAAAGTTTGTGCTTGCTTGTTTTACTTGTTCCGAGGGTAGCATTTGAAACCGTTGACTGTGGATTTTTACAGAGCGAAGAAGATACGTCTGTGTTGTTCTTTTTATTACTGCTACTCTACCCGACTCTACTCTTGTGGCGCAAGAGTCGTTTTTATAATGATGAAGTTTCAAATTTTAGAATGATGAAATATAGCGTGTTCCAATAACTTGGACAGATTTTAAAAGTTTAAAATCGGTTCAAGTTATTGGAACACCCTATATCATCATCGTATACCTTTACTGGTGGCCATGTTGTTTTAGATGAAATGTTTATCTTTATTTCCAGGGTGATGAAATATCCTTATCATCAATCATCACAACTCCATGATAATAATTTTTACATTTTACATTTTTATTATTAGCAACAACAATCAGCACCCATGGAGCTGAGTTTATTCTTTGGATTTGGAGCTATCATAAGGGTGTGATGGACTTCTTGTTTGATGTATGTATGATGAGCAATGCCGAGAAGAAAGATCTTCCGAATTTTTTGTATTTCGCAGTTACCAGGAATTTTGTTTGTGTATTTTACTATACCGTTCTTGACAAAACCGAGCGTACCTATACTATTTAGTTTCATGTTTCACATTCTCTCTACTTCTAGATCTTTATATTTGGAGAGTTTTCTGTAATTTTTATTTTATTTCTCGATAGAGACATACATATATAACATAATTTAAAATTATATAAATAAAAATAATTAAAGGATTGATAAATACAATAGATTAGTTTTGTTTATTAAACTTTCTTTGAGGGGAGTATTTTAAAAACATTTATTAAAAGAAGAAAGTTACTAACATGTATTCTTTAAAAACTGTTATAATGAATGAAGCCTGCTGGATTACCGCCCTCTAACAACAAGCACGGGCTATGCGATATTTGAAAGATCATTTCTTTCTTTTTTGACTTCTCTCTGTCTTTCCAATAGAGACGAGGCCATGTAAGTACTTCAGAGATAAACTTACTGAAGGTTGCTTTGATCTCTCTTAATTTCTTATATTATCCTTCAGTAACATGTTTCGTTAATACATTTACAAGTATTGTTTGTTTTAATTCCATGTTTTAATTCTTCATTTTACCCGGACTCACATGAGTCCACCAAATATTGTTTGCAGGACAAAATGTATCAGGAGTCATAAAATTAATAACTTCGATTCTCACAACAAGTCAGACGGTTAGTAAAAAAATGGCTTTAATAAAATTTGATGTGTTAAACTTTGTATATGTGAGGCTCAAACAGATGTTTTAAAAATACTGCCAAAATGAAACCTGGCGGTTTAGTAAAAAGATACATGTATAAAAATTGGTTTTCAAATTTTCAAAAAAAGAGGATTACGTTTTATGATCTCAAAACGCGCCTAAATAAAGTTTTCAAACAGACGTTGTTTAAAGAGATATATTTGTGATTTTCTAACCAATGGGTGAAGTGAGTTACGATCCCATGGTATCAAATTTCTGATTCAAGTTTAAGCAGAGTTGTGGTTATTTAAGAAATTTGATTTGTCTGACAGTTGAAGGGACTTAGCGTTCCCAGGTGAAAGTCGTTGGCAGCTGCTAGGAGAGCAAAAAACTTGAAGGCTTCGACATCCACGAGGACGACTACGACTACGACGATGACGAAAAGGAAGTAGCAAAAGAAAAAGGATAGGAAATAATAGAATAAGAGAAGCAGAAAGAAAAAAATGGAAAAGGAGAAGTTTCTACAAATGTAGAAAGATGTACGATTATTTTTACTGATAGGCAACATATATCATTCAAAACATTCCAATTTGCTTAAAATCTAAACAAATATCAACACCGCTAGTTTACTTTGTATTTTGGCATTGTAGTTGTTCACCAAAATTATTAAAGAGGTCTGTATGCTGATCAACCGTCGCTTCTCTCAAGTTCTTAAAACTTAGAGAACCATTTCTTCCTCCATCAGCATGCCCCAGGAGAGCAATTCACTGTACCTTCTCGGTTTCACATTTTCTACTGACATGAAGAAGGACGATTATATTAAATCAATTGTCAGCCCGGGATATGAACTCGGTTCTTTGATTCTATTTTCAGTGTCGATATCCGTAACACTACCTGCACACCCAGTCCTGAGTATAAAAAGAAAGAAAAAAAATGGTAAAAGAGCCGTCAATATTTTAGCGTTGCGTATAAATAATCTAATTGTCATTTCTTTTACCGATGCATATGGATAACGTCAAATTAAGTAGAAAAGGGTATATTGAATGAAATGCTAAGTTTGCAGCTAAGTTTACACTATGTCATGCGAGACAATTTTTATCGCCAGAATCTATCTTATATATTTATTCGTCCTTGCTTTGAATATTGCTGCCACATCTGGCCTGGTGCTCCTGCTATATATTTATAGATTCTTGATAAAATCCAAAGTAGAATATGCAATGTTATTGGCCCTGACCTGGCACTTCGGCTTCAGTCCCTTTCCCACCACCGTAATGTAACTTTACTGTGCCTTTTCTTTAAATATTTTGATGATAATTGTTCGGATGAACTCTTTGCGAAGTTACCTAGACTTTATGAATTTATGCGCAGTACTAGATTGGTGGCAAACTCTCATAATTTTACAGGTGAAATGGCTAGGTGTAACTCTAAGCGTTTCTTTTATCGCACTTCTCACTTGTGGAAATCTCTTCCAGTTTCTTACTTTCCAGATTGATCTTAAGAAATTTAAATACAATGTCAATCGTTATTATTTATCTTCTTAATTCTTGATCTTTTATTGTCCTCTCTCTTTAATAGTAGTTTTTCTCATATTCTATAACACCCAGTAACTCCTTGTGTCCTAATGGCTTTATTGTCTTGCAAAGTACAAGGAAACGGGAATTTTTAGTTCGAAACAAAGAGTACTGAACCTTTATGTAACATTAATGCTCTTATATGGCATCGAATGCTGGACAGTCTCCTCACAGACGAAGAATGCAATGGAAATTTTAAGTGAATTCCTAGAGATTATATAGATTCTGTTAGAAAGAATAATTATATATTAAATATAGTACATTTAGGTAGCAATACTTCATTTAAATATATTTATTAAATTAAGGGAATGTCTGTTAAATCTCTTGGTAAGTATCTTCTCATGTCAAATAAGTTTTTGATGTCGGTATAAACCAATTTGGTTGTTAGGGTGGAGTGGATCAATAAGTGGTCGGGGAATGTGATGAGTGTGCTATGATTGCCCTTGCTTTGATACAGGGTCTTTGACCCTTTGTTTCGCTTATCTAAGTATCTGGTTTCAGAAACGAAGTTAGCTGATTGATCTATCCTTAAGAATACTGGTGTTAATGTGAATGAGGTGTTAAGAAGATGATACTTTTTAGGGGAGTTAAGAAATATTTTCATTGTATTTTATTTATTAAACTTTGCCTTTTACTACACTATAAATGAACTTCCCTTTATCATATATTATGTTCTAAGTGATTTCAAACATCGTTAGTCGCTTTCAAGCAAATAAAGTTTGCCAGGTTAAATGAAAGAAGGCCAATAGCTTTTGCATTTTTGGCGTACATTTGCTAAGTTTAAAAATAGACCTTGAGATATTTAGACATTTGTATTTAGGCTTTTAAGGATTTAAAAACAGAAAGAAGATAAGTTACATCGACATATAGAAAATTTATTTACATACAATATGCTCTTTTATTTTTAAATAGCTGGAATAAAGAGAAATTTATTAAAGTTTGTTAATGTTCCTTTCTTTTGTGTTTAAGGAAGAAAATCTATTTTTCTATTAATTTGACTTAAACATATTTAAAAAAAAAAGTTGAATTGATTGGAAATTAATAAAAACAAGAATGGTACAATAAAAGATGAATTGAAATAGTCCTTTCTTATTGTTATCATGTATAATTTAAATCTGTTTTATTTTATGTCAGATTTCTCAGTCCCATGAGCTGCTCGGTTTGGACAAGACGTCGTGTCGGCTGGACAATCTAGCAAACTCTATGAGGTTTCCCTCCATAAAAAGTGTCTCTGATAGATTCCTCTGCCACTAAATCTTATGCCATGAAGGTGATGAGCCCACGAGATACACCTTGTCCCCCACCCACAACTCTCACGTTCTTAGCAGAACGTTGGAACATCCTTCAGCACCAGAATCCTTGGCCGACGACGTTCTTCCAGCGGCTGCGTGATCTGCCGCGAAGTTATTTTCAGTCTGCAGATGGCAAGTCGAACTGGTAGATGACTCTAATGGGGTGATCATCAGGTCGTTGCAGGATGTAAACGAGTTAGTGGACACGGCGCTGAGCGATGGTACAGAGGATGTTCGGCTAGCCAGTCCTCCGGCGGATGTCTTTGTTGGGTACAAGATCGGATCAATGCACCGTCTCAATGGTCCTTAGGGCATTGGACTCGAAGCCATGGGCGCGGGAGGTGATGATCTTTCTGAGAGGCCACGTTTCAGTGCTGTATAGTAGCACAGAGAGGATGGTGGTGTTGTAAAATCGTAACTTGGTGCACTGGGAGATGTTGCGATGCTTCCATAGTGGTCTTGAGAGGCTTCATGACACATGCAGTTAGCTCATGTCTTCTGTTGATCTCCGTAAGCAGGTCAATGGTGTTGGAAAATTCAGAAACTATGTATACGAAATACATGACGAACTCAATGGGGTCGCTGCCAATGATGATTGGCAATGGATCGGAGCCGCCTCCTACGTGCATCAGCTTCGTTCTCGATCACTTGTCGCGCAGCCCAAGCCTTGTCGCCTCCTTGTTGATTGAACACGCAGAGTGCACCCCCCCCCAACGCAACCCAGCCATCGAACAGCAGAAGAGCATCGTATCTTCGGTGTAGCCCATTGTATTGTAATTCTAATTTATTTTCAGTGACTTTCAGTTTTTTTTTGTTTTTGTTTTAATGCTTAATCGATTTTGATTATCGTGCAGGGCTGGTGAGATGGTCTCATGATCCCACCCCCAATCTATGATATGGGGCTCATCACTGTACTACATCTCAATTTTCATAGATAATATTCAAACAAAGTTTATTGCAAACTAATTATGTACAATAATAGGTCATATACAATATAGTCGAACAATTCAATTAGAAAAACTGAAAATAATTACAATGTTTCTAAATATAAACTATAGGCATACCATAATAGATTATTCCATTTTTAAATATTAAATATTATTTGAACAGTGAACTAAATTGTTAAATACAAATGCTAGTTAAAACATTTTGCACTCATAGTTTTAAAACGTATATTGACAACAAAATGTTAAAAAATATATCTATATACTAATTACCGTCAATATCTACTTTATTTGACAAATCATTCGCATTTAGTTACAGAAAGAATATGTAAGTTACATTCAGGACTGGAGGCTGGAGTAAGCGTCTGGTGACCACACACTGAATCTATACAGAGCTATAGTGATGTGAGGCTTAGGAGTTAAAATGAACAGTTGATTTACCCACGCCAAGAAGATTAATGAAGGATGATAATGATGTGGAAACACATGGGCAATTTTAACAAAACAATATAAGGAAGTTATTCATGAATTTACACGCTGGAATTATTGCCAGTAGCTCGTTTCAGGACAAATTAATCAGAATTCTTAAAGTCTGTTGTTTTAACGAATTGTCATGAAGAGGAAATGTTCATACAGTAGATTAAATGATCTGACACAAAATTATATTAAAAAATGTTTATGACTAAGGTAAGAGAGTTTGTTGCTCACCGAAGGGATATATGGTTTGCATACGTTCAAAAGTAAATGAAGAGAGAACGCTAAGTCCCTTCAATTGTCCAAATTGTTCACTAGGAGACGCTCTCCCTACACTATAAATACTGGGTGATTTCTTGTCTCATTCTCTTTTTCATTTCTTCATTTTCAGCGAACACATTTACAATGTAAGCTCTCGCAGAAGATTGCGTTTTCCCACTTGTGGGAGATGCAATGAACATTATACACACATACACGTACGTACGAACATTCACCAAAATACAAACTCTTTATGTTCACACACAAGCACAAATGTTAATGTCTATTGTAAAATTTGTTGTTTAATGCATATACTTGCGGTATGTACATATCGGTCTTGTTGATTTTCTTTACACTTCTTTATGGTGGATTCAATCTCTGAGTCCACCATATTCTTGTAGTGGACCTCCTAGCAGGAATAAACACGCGTGTTCCTAATTTAACAACACGTAAACCCACGGTCCGCAACAATAGTTTGAAATACTTAGCTTTCTTGGATTGTCGAGAGAAAATTCTTTGAAGTAACGCATGATTGGTTAGAGGCTGATAATGTAATTAGTAATTAATTTTACACTGGCGAAAACTTCAACGCTGGTCACGATGAATAAAAGTGAAACCTTTCACATGACTTAACGCTTTGATTAATTTAATTTTTATCCTCATTTTATATAAAAAATAATTTTGTGTAGACTCGCTAGTTTCTTTTCTGTGAAGGCAAGTTTTTCATTGATCCAAAACAATTTCACATAAGCTTGCGAATTCCTTTCCTTCTTCTTCTCAGCTCAGCGGTCAATTTCTGTGAAGGCAAGATATTCATTATTCCAAAGGAAATAGGCTCAAGAATTCCTTTCCTTTTTCCTTGATCCTCCAAATTTGAAGTGAGTTATTATTTCGCACTCACTACAGGGACTGCCACTCTACTACATCTCAATTTTCATCAAGTAGTATTCATATAAAACATAAATTTTATTGTAACCTAATTCAGTACAATAATGTATCATATGCAATATAGGTGAATAATTCAACTAGGAAAATTGAAAATAAATGCAATATTAGAGACATATCATAATAAATCAATCCATCTTAAATAAGTCAACAATATTTTGCGATAATTTTTAGCATAAATTTGAGATTGTTCTTGCTAAAAAGTAACACATCCAACATTGTGAATAAAAAATAATGAATTTTATATAGTGTTTTTATGAGACTTAGGATAAGCAAAATAAATTCATGGATTTGGACAAAAAAAATGAAAAAAGAATCCAGAGTGATGTCAAAATCCACAAAAATTCTTCCTCCTTTAATAGTCAGTTGTGCTTAGTTTCATTTGTAACGTATATAAACGTAGGTAGAAAAAAAACAAATGTTGGTAAAATAGCGAGGGTCACAAAGCACTGCCTGGAGCCTCCATTCATGGTTTCCCAAAGGTCGGTAAGTTTGGGGGTAGTATGCACCGCCCTGTTCATAATGACCATACAGATGCTGTTAGAAAAGTATTCACTTTTATTTTAAACATAATCTATTTTGGCAAAAATCCTTCGTTTAAACACGTTTCATTGAATAGAAAAGATGTGAAATATCAGTTAAAGCGTTTTGATGAGTTTCACTTGGTGTTGAATAAGTCATTTGATGACTTGTGGAAACTTGCAAATGAACTTGCCAAAACTGTGTTTAATGTTTGGAGTATTTTGACCAGATCACCATTGATTGTTTTCAAGCAAAGAAGATGGAAATTAGGGAAATGGCCAGTGTAGCATTTATGTGACTAACAGCCTGACATTTGTAATGAAGATGAGTTCACAGGCTATGACTATGAAATTGCTTTTAGTGTCATATTGCCAAAAATGTATATCTGTTAAATACAATTTAAATAAAATACCATTCCATTCTTTACTTTTCATGGTTTATTCATTGTATATTTTAATTACTGGAGTGCTAAATAGTTCTCAGCTTTAAAAAAAAAAAAGTATCTGTTGGTCATTTGATCAAACTTTGGCAATTGGGTCAGGCCGTGAACTTTTCAGTACCCCTTCATAAACATTAAGACATTTTCCAGAAAACCGTGAAATCTCGGCATCCAAATTTGCCGGATAAATGATCCTGCATATAATAATAACAATATCACTGTAATGGGATTGATTTAGCTAATAGGTAAATTAGCATAAAGAGAGCCATAATTATAGCACACGGGCGACGTTGAGTTAGTGTCTATAGCATATCTACAGCTACTAAGTTTGGTCATCATTACAAAATGGTGTCGCCTGACGGAGCTTTGTTGAACACAGAAGAACCTGAAAACAAAGATTTGGATGAAATGTTTTGAGGCATGTGCTAGGATAAAGAAGTTACGAGATATCCAAACACCTGGCGGACAGAAAGAAATTACAGATCTATTTTTAGCCACTGCGGGATGCAAAGTCATTAGGCAAATTTCGTTAATGACTGAAAATGAAAATTTGACATTTAAAGAAGTCAAAGAAATAATACTGAGAAATATTCAACCAAAGAAAACATTGGTCATAGTCGAACGAACTAAATTCTTAGCATTGAAACAAGAATTTGGGAAGTCTATATTGAAATATCTAAGACGTTTAAGAAATACCAGCAGATTTTGTGAATTTCATAAACTAGGATAACAAGGAATAAGCACAGAGGAAGAATTAATTCAACTCCGATTGGTAGAAGTACTGTACAAGTAGAAATTTTAGAGTGGTTACAGACAAACCAAATGACTTTAGAAGCTTGTATTGAATTCATACAAGAGGAGTTAATTGCAAAATTTAGTACAATTGAAAACCAACCTGAGCTTATGGACACATGTGCAATAAAAAGAACAATGATAAAATGCAGATATTGCAAATATAAACATGAATCAAAGAGAGAGAAATGTTCAGCATGGGGACAGACATGTAATAAGTGCAAAAAAATCCCTTTCAAGTCATATGTAGATGGTGAGATAACAATGTAAAAACTGTTGAAATAATACACGACGATGTAAAAAACAAACATTTTTTTCAATAGCAAGGAGGAACAAAAAGAACACCTTCATCAATATTAAATTAAAAAGTATAGACTTGAAAATGCAAGTTGACGGTAGAAGCGAATTGACCTTATATTCCGAAGAATTTTTGGGAACAATTATCAAAACTAAAATTAAATAAAAGCTTAGCAAGATTAAGATAGTTTGATGGAACGTATGTATATATATTAGGATCCTTTCAAAGCACTTTTGAACAAAAAAATAGATTTGAAACCGTCAATATTATGGTTGTAGACTGTATAAAATACGGTTTAGTAGGAACTGATTTAATAAATATTAATAGCACAGGTTTACTTAATGCTATGAATACGGGAAGTCCCGAAACTGGGACATTAAAAAACTATAAAGCTTCATATCATATTTTGTAAGACGTAGGTTTCTCATTCATATGAAGCCAATAGTAGTTGTTAAGCTGTGAAAAATGGTGGAATAAGGCATTCTTCAATATGTAGAACCTGGGGGCAACAAATGGGCATCAGTTGTTGTGGTTTTAAGAAAACCTGATGGTGATTTTAGAATTTGCAGAGATTACCAAGTAGGCGTTAATCATAAGATCTGTTCGGAATTTTATCTTATTCCCAACACAGAAAACATTTTACATTCTCTTACAGGAATGAAATATTTTACGAAAATTGATTTAAAAATACGTACCACCAAATTCAAATAGATGACGAGAATTTAAGGAAATCACAACAATAAACTCCCCAATAGGCTTACTTAGATGGTCCTGCTTGCCATTTGGAAATAAGACAGCCAGCTCGACTTTTCAAAAAGCTATAGAAAATTTGTTAGCGTTGAGAGTAGAAAATATGATAATTTATATGTTTAGGTGCGGGCATTGAAGAGGAACTGAAACAAAAAAAGGAAATTTGTTATGGATAAGTTGAGGAATTTGCGGGAATGGCAATAAACGAAGATAAGCGTATATTTAATTGCAAAGAATTAACATTCTTGGGTTACCAAATTTCAGAAAATGGTACTTTGCTGGACCCGACGTTAATACAAAAGTATTAAATGTATCTTTTCCAACT